TATGGCGTTACTAAGGTTGCATAATGGAACTGGGTACTTAACTTATGACCAGAGCTTTGGTAAGATGGGAAGTGCTGTGTAAATATACAGCATGAATCAGAACACAAGATGCAGAAGTTAATGGAGTAGTTGGAAGGGTTTAAGAAGAAAGTGAATACAGAAAATAAAAAGGTATTAGGAGTAATACGAAGGGATCAATGGATTGATATGAAATTTGAGTTGAATCATATTGTAGTTAAGAGAAAAGTAGCAAGTGTTAGGAATTCTGTGGAAAAGAAGTGTGTCAGTGGCGGTTATATGTGGATGGTCTCTGAGTATATTGGCGGTGACACTTCTGTATGGGTGAGGTATGATTCGTGAATATTTAAGTGAGGGGGAAGGCTGGAGGCAGTGGAGATGTATAAGATCAGTGTGTGGTGTGAATATTAGTCAGAGAATAAAGAGTAAGAAAAAAGTAGAAAACGGTGTGGTGAATGTGAAAGGAATAATTCAAGAGAGGAAGGATTGTTGAGATGGCTTGGTAATTAAGAAACAATGGAGAAAGAAAGGTTGACCAAGGTGTACATGTAGGTTGGAAGGAGGGTGTGAAGAAGTCTTTTTTTAAGAGGTAGGGGCATGAGCATCCAGCAGGCATGTGTGAGCGTACTAAAACCAAGTGGAAACAAGTAGTTTTTGAGATTTTACGTTCTGTTGGAATGTAAGGTATATATATGTGAGGTTCAGAGGTGACAGACAATGCATGCACTATGAAATGTGGGTATAGTTGCTCTTCTGTGGCTAATTGGATCATGGACTATTACCAACCAGAACGCCAGATGAGCAAAGAGTTTATCCACCAAACCCCAACCACTGTAAATCATTACCCGAGTGCATGCGTGCATCACCTGATTATACCATCCTATCCTAGGTTTTAATCAACATAAATGTATGACTGTGGTGCAACGGTCAGCACGGCTGCCTTTAAAGCAACAGACGTGGGTTCGACTCCCGGCAGAATCTTGATTTTTTTTCGAATTAGGTTTCTGTGGTGCTTCTTTTTTATGAGTGAGGTGAAAGTGTTGAATGATGATGAAAGTATTTTCTTTTTGGGGATTTTCTTTCTTTTTGGGTCACCCTGTATCGGTGGGAGACGGCCGACTTGTTGAAAAAAAAATACGATGTACTTAAGTACATTTGATAGATCCTGATGTTACACTACGTAAGTGGGCATAAATTAACATGATGCATGCGTATTTTTTGTGCTGTAGGTGAGAGTTGAGCATAGTGAGGTGAGGGTGACTGTGTGTCTCGCGAACCAAGAGGAGGTGCGGGCAGGCGCCACAACCCCCAAACACCACTCCTGCAGACTCATCCTCGGCGACGCTGACAACAACGTCCTCTACAATCAGCGTATCACGTTAGTCTCATGTCATCACTAAATCTTTACATGTAGTTGCTAAAGATTCCTTCGACTGGCACAAATAATGCACAGATTGTAATTGTGCGAACGCCAGTCTTGCTGATAGTATGCAAATGTTGGGCAAAGCGGTGTGAAAATTATTGCAACAATAACAAATAATACTAATTTCGGTATTATTGTTAGTGAATTTAAAACGAATTATGATGAATATTTATTTGAGCATGAAGCGCAAAAATACAATCTGTTAGTAATGTATTTATTTAGATTAAACTAAGTCTTCTGTTGTACCTGACGTGCAATAAAATGCCGAGATAAACTCACCCAAACCCTTGCAAAGAATCCCTCCAAATTCTTCGTGACAGGCGAGCACTACAAATATATAAACCACAACTGACATCCTCACGAATCATATATTTTACTTGAGATATATTTTCTATATATATTGTAATAATGCTGGTAGAATTACCTACAGTATATTAGGTAAAAGAGAGAAATGCAACTAATGCGACATTTTATTGTGGCATTAGTTGGCTACAGATAACTAGGAGTTTGTGCCAACATTGTATATATTTCTAACAAGAAACTTTATTGGTAAAACTATTATGTACTTGCATTTTTAAATAGGTTAGGCTGTTCGACGATAAAAATCTTAAAAACAATAAGTGCTTCAGAAATGCTCAAGAAATACGTATTTAATGTTAGCTCACAAAGTTCAGTGGCTGGAATAATTCACGACAAATTGGAAATTAAAATGAACGGTGTTTCAGTCCTAGATCACTCGACTTCATAATGATCCAGGACGGACCGAAACATGGTCCAATTCTCACTTCCTATTTATGAGTTTACTAGGAAACTATTCTTGCAAACAAAGTTTTTGCAAGCCAGAAAAATGCTTGAAATTTTATGTAGTAAATTAAGAATGTAATTAAATTCCAGAGATGCAGCACTGGTTATATCTGGAAGTGTGTCTCGGGTGGTGAAGGTGACGAGGGCTCAGACGGGGGATGAACTACCTGTTAACTTTATCTCTGAAACCTGGGGTAAGTCCCACTCTCAAACTCTTGACTTATTATTGTTTCTTTCACGATCGATATTTTAGCATGATCTATTTTACTGCATTCTTTCATTTCTGTTTTTGTACAGCTGTCTCTTATCTTTTTCCTAGACTGTACATAGTTTCTGTAGTGACCTTCCGTCACATCACTATTGTATTTAAAAAGAAAATACCGAGTATTAACTTCGGAAAGTTAATAGCCAAAAGAAATCCAAATAATTTTGGCGTATTAACATTTTTTTCTTTTACATGAATCAGCTGGTCTAGATGTGCAGAGCAGCTACAGTCCCCGCTACCTGCCTCGTCCACAGACCTTCTCTGCTGATCCCCACATTACTATGCCAGCACCATTAGCACCTCACAAACAAAGTACTATAATCTCATTTTATGTCATGTTTGCTATATATTATGTACAATTTTACTTCAGAGCTAACAGCTTTTGAAATTCGTGAACATATAAACTAGTTATGTATTATAATGCCCGAAAAGCGTTGATTTATGTAACATTCGGAGCTTCCCTTTCGCTTATACAGTGTAAAGTGCTATATGGACCATGGTCGCCCCACAACAGTGTGCATCACTTATGCTAATTACCAAGATGGCAACCTCTGATGAACTCAATCGATTGATAAGATTTGTTCGAATTTCTAAACCGGAAGGTTAGCCACCCAGGATAACCCAAGAAAGTCAGTGCGTCATCAAGGACTGTCTGTCTTATTTCTGTTGGGGTCCTTCAAGCTTGTCCCTCAGGATGCGACCCACACCAACATAAGAAAGGATAAACCCATGGCTTGATTTGACTTCGGAGGGTATACTGTTAACCCGTGATATAAACCAACAAAGTCAATTATTATTATGGCACATTTCCATAGGAAGTGTTCACAATTGTGTTTATATCAAAATTATGAACATGAGTTGGTAAGCAATTTAATCGATTAAGATGCCTTCAAAATCACAATTCACTACAGCCGAAAAAAATGTTAAATAGATAGACTCTTAATATATGCGTTGTTAGGTTACGTTACATTAGAATTTCGTCTTTTAACAAAATTTAACCAGCTTGAACATACAGTAACGCCAGTAAATGAAATAATGCATAAGGACGATAAATTTGTTGGAAACAGAAAACAAGACTCACGAAGGTAACCATTAGTCAAAAACTGTGATTATATATTTTGTCAACGTCACATTACAGACGATATTCTGAGTCAAGTTATCTCCAGTCTACAGTAAACATGGAGGGTATTCCGAGGGGTCAACGCCCCCGCGGCTCGGGCATTGACCCCTCGGCTATAGAAGTTCATGACGTGTGTGCAGCCATCAGATAAAAATGTAAAGGTTGAAAGTTTAAATAGTAAGGTAAAGTCATAATATATTACAACGAACCTTAAAATTAACGAACACTTGCACAAAACTGATTCCCATGCCGGGAATCGAACCCGGGCCTCCTGGGTGAAAGCCAGGTATCCTAGCCACTAGACCACATGGAGCTGAGAGCCTAGTACACTTGTTTTAAGAAAAATTAATGAGATAAGTAAGTTTATTCAGGTATACACAAATACAGTTACATAGATTATCATACATAGCAGCATATGTGTAGAGAACCTAGGATAACCAAAAAAGTCAGACAGAGTGACTTATTTCCATTGGGGTCCTTTTACCTTATTATTATAAAATAAAGGTTAGAAGATTTTCTTATTATTCTATCATGAAGATAACATCCTATTATCATACTAAAAGACTATCTACTACACGAGGGTCATTAAGACTACAATACGAGGGTCATTACTAGGAATAAGGTAAAAAATTGCACGTATGTTAGCTAAAAAATAGAAAATCATACCCCTCCCTTTCTGTAGCTACATTCATCAGACACCTTTTTAAATGCATTTATTTGGCTCTTATACAATTTCACATTTTTACGAGTGACTTGTATGCGTATATAGTTTTAGGACAATCCAGTAACGTCAAACTAAGATTTAGATATAATTCTCAAGGACCCCAGTGGATATAAGTCACTGACTTTTTTTTGGGGTTATCCTGGGTAATTTACACATGTGTGAAACTACGTATGATAATTGTACTTGTGTGTAACTGTACCAAAATAAACTTACTTAAGCTGGGTTATAGTTGCCCGTGACACCCTCTGTTAGGATGTTCATCCTCTAACTGAGGTACAACACTTGAACGCAGGATGGGCATCAAAGGATCAGGTTGCCTGATAAATCTATAAAATAAAGAACTACTGATTACCCAATTTATCCCTTTGCAGTCTCCTCTTTCCAATTATTATGAAAATGAATTAAAAAATTACTTTAGTATTTACATAACTAGATTCCTGGTATAGAATAAGTAATTTAATACAATTCAAAATTCTAATTTTTATTTTTTTATGCAGTACGCAGATAATGTAGTTTACATGTAATAAAATATGTTAGCACAACAAAGAAACCCACTAGCATGCAGTAAATTTCTGACCAGCAAATAATAAACTTTATCATCTATAAAATTATTATTGAAAGCAGAACTTTAAACCATAATAAATGCCCTGAACATACGTAAGTGTTTTTTTATGCATAGCTTTGTCAGTATTACCATACCATTTATAACCAACTATCAGAAAGCTGAATAAGTATTTTTCACAAGGACTCTGGACACTGTTGGGACAATCAAAAACAGTTACAAAGGACTGAAAATCCCTCTGTATTGCCCGAGCCCCTCATTTTAAAAATATATTCCGCGTGTTTTCCCCAGGCATTTTTTTTCCATTTCTCCCCCATGTATTTATATTTCCACTACTTATGGGGTTCCCCTCTGCGCAGAGTGGCAGCCCTAAGGGGGATGCCACTCTGCAATGTATTTTTTTCGTTAGGTTCACAATTATTGCATACACAAATTTTCGCTTGCCTTATTCGGCAAGAAGAGCGTTGCTATTTAAGCCAAAATTCGTGCCGATAGGTAAAACTTGCGATGTTGGCTTAAGTAGCAATGCTCTTCTTGCGAATAAGGCAAGCGAAAATTTGTGTGTAATAATTTCTGAAAAATCATTGAGCGTAGCGAATAATAATAAATAAACATAATGAAATGTTTTACATTTCAATTATGTTTGTTTATTATTAAATTATTGTAAATTTTATCAAAAATATATTTTAGTTGGATTAGGTTAAATTAATTGCGCTGTTTTAAAAAAGGGGTAGGTAATTTTTCTAAGGTTCTTTTGGTACAAAATTATTAATTTTTACATTAACATAAAAAAAAAAATATCTAAACTATACGAAATATTTAGAAAGGACTTAATTTTAAAATGAGTTCTTGCTAATTGACCCAGTTTTACCAAATTCTTTACGACACATGCACACACTTTTTGGGGCGTGAAAACGGGGTACATTGGCAGGCGAGTTTTAGAATTTGGCTCCGTGTCTTCTGGGATTGCTGAATGTATATTTGCAGTTTTCAAAGATTTATTAATGATTGGTTTAGGGTACTTCAAGTTAAATCCCATGTTACTTTATATTCATTATTTCGTCATTTATAACTCGCCCGATCCGTAATGGATACCAATATACAAGTATCATTCCTCATGAATAAACACGACATGTGGTCCATAGTTTATTTTTTGTTGTATACTTTGGCGATGATGCCGAGTGTTTAAACGCTGGATGAACCAAACAGGTAATAATGATGGTGACCGGTTTGATGTTCATAGTGACCTCTCTATATGTAGGGTCTAAAATTGAGCCGATCAGAAACATTACAGCGTACATTTTAAGCGTCTTCGAATTGTCGTATATATTTTTTTATATATACCTTACGGGAGAGAAATATAAATATTAATAAGGATGTGAAGGGTTAACCTATGAAAAGTTGGAATGTGTACAAATTTGTTATATGTTTTCTCATGAGTGATATAATGTTCTTCAATCTGCATCATCAGTCTTTCATTACGGTAACATATACTGCAGATACCTCTGTCGCGTTTCATTAATAACTTCTCATTTTTAGCACTGCAAAATATGAGTTTTTTTTTAAATAATTTAAAATTAATATTTAAATAATTGAACGTATTTATATCATTTCTTTTTTACCTGGTATAAATTTCTATTAAGTGAGGCAGTCGTCCCCTTCATTTATCTTTCCAATCTTATGAGGGTGCAGGAGGCAGGGGGGGTGGTGGCAAGAACAACACGTTGCAGGAATGAAGGAGGCTGGCGTGCCGCCTACATACCTGTGGTGATAAGCGCACAGTGCCCACAAGTGCTGTAAGGTGGCCCTCCATGTCTCTACACACAGTAAATGAGTGATAAAGTTAAGTTGGGTGTGAACCGGACCTGCAAAGAATGGGCTAGTTGGCTCCTTTTTCTACGGAAGAAGTGTTTGTAGATGAAATTTTTGGATTCATTGTTTAATGTTTACTGAAAGTTAAAACTCGTAGTTCACAAGAACTTAGAAAAATTTACGCTCTTTGTAGATGATTACTTTATCTCTTTTTATTCAAAGCGAAATTTGTCAGGGATTAAAAAAAAAAGAAAAAGGCTCACAAATATAGGTAGGTGTGATATGCATACCGTACTTTATTTTTTGTATATATTACAGAGAATTTAAGCATGAAAATACATCATTATTCTCGCGGGAAGGTTGGTGTCAGCTCCCGGCCGAGTGTAGCAGCAGCAGCAGCACACCGTGGGAGTGCCAGAGATGTTACAGGAGATCCGTAAGAGAAGCAACCAGTTGCTTCAGACATCTGTTAAGAAGATCAAGGTGGGCAGCACACGTGAAATTATACATATCCCCTATGTTACTCTTTGTATGCTTGTAACTTAGAAAGTTGTGTATGTGTCTGTGTTATAGCTTACTGATTTTCAAACAGTTTAAAAAAATTATGTTTTATTACCCACTTGTTTTGATTCAGATTTATATCTATCAGATGAACGAAGTGGTGGAACAACAAGTCTTTCAAAGTTCAAGTATTCCCCATGTGGTCCCCGCTTGAGCACGTACCTACTCCTATTACGGTCCAGCACCTTACAATCCATGCCAAAATGATAACTTGCGCCAACCAAAAGTCGTCCAAAAGATCCCTGAAATATAACGCTACTGAAACTTATAACCAGGCCAACACTAGTGAAAATAAAAGCTGTGGTAATGCTAATAACCGAGTGTTTTAAACGATAGTACCAACAGCCACGGACGCATTCCTCGTCCAACGTATGCGGATAACCATTGTCAGATAGAAAAATTAAATCGATGAAGATGTCCTGAATGAATTTGAAAAGGGGTGGAATTTTGAGAGGAATACCAAGATGATTTCCCCGAATGGATATTTTCACGTCAGAAAAAGAAAACTATACAGGCGAGAACAAGGTTTTCGACGGAGACATATAAAGGGCACATTCAGTAAGCCACTAGGAGCAGAATATCCAGAAGTTTCGGAGAATTTGTCAACTTTTTGGGAATAGGTTTAAGTTTCGACAGAAGCACACAAAAAGTCAGAACCAAGAGCCAATAATCAACTACATCCACCGTACAACCAAGTTGCCCCCAAAAAAACCCCGCTAAATAAACCATCTAGCCAGCGTCCACTGACCAGCGACCTGAAATTAAACAAATGCAGCAAATACAACAAGTTTCAGCAGTACCCGAGTCTGAACAAAGAACACAGAACATATCACGGATCAAAGTAGAAAAGTACAAAGGCTTTTGTGTCAGGCAAAAGGACGGAACCACAAGGCAGCACAAAGACATTCACAATCCTCTGTAAATAATAACAACCGATTATTGATCCTATATTAAAAGAGGACAGTCAGAATAAGCTAACTGTGAGTTCCCTCGAACACATATCACGCACGATACCCAGTCATTACGACCTTTAGGAATACAAACATTTCGGTACCATGGGCCCTCAAGCCCTTCACTGTGAAAGCTATACAGCCTAAAAGATTTAAAACGACCAACAGAAACAGAAAGTAATTACGACGAAGATTTTGTGAGGACTTTTGGAGAACAAAGTAAGAAAGCCTCAAGTTCAACACATTTGTCAAGAGCACAGGCAAATACACACCAAGAGTCTCTAGCTCTACAGACAAAGCAGATTAGTCAAACCAACATAAGTCAAGAAAACCAAGCCGGGCACATCAAACCCCAAAAAGACCTTTAGGCAACAAGCCAACCCAAGGCCAAAGACCAGTGCAACTGCCATTAAAACCAACTAATAAATTTTGCAGGGACCTATCCCGCCATTCCCTCAAACCAGGCAAATAAAAACGCCCCTGAGGATGCCATCACCATATACTTATCAGAAGCCGCAGCAGACATCTGTTGTGCAGAGCATAAGAAATCAAAGATTACCACAGCCTCTGGACTCGCGTGGATTTACCTCTCAAATCTTATCCACGTCTACAAATAATCAGAACCAACGGCTTCGTATATATTTAGCAATGAAAGCTCAAAACCTGAGCAAGCAAGTTTTTCAAGAGAAACATCAAGAACCAATACCCTTTCGCAGCTATGGTTCATACCACAAGAGTACCAGACACTAAATTATCCCCAAGTTACTCCTCTTGCTTACCACACACCATCTTCCTAATTTCCAGCATCATGAAGACGAACAGGTTGACACTCCAGGTGAACACTCTGACAGTGGAAGAAGTGCCCTTGTACAGCATTTACACCAATCTAATGTTAATTTGGTGAGTCGGCGCATCAAGCTTGGAAGATTTAAGTGAGCCAGTACAACTCATAGCTTGAACTACCCAAGCCAAACTCTAGATGAAGACTATTACTCGCAAGGTTCTGATTACAAAGACTGGAGTGCCTTACAAGACTATGAGTTACCCTTCGACATATCAAAACAAGAAATGTGCGAGAGCAGCTCTAACCCCAGTAATTCTTCACACCTAAAACCTGTCGCGGGAAAAAACCATCAGTTTCTTACTCTGGACAGTGTACTGGAAGCACACAAGATAAAAATGATCCATTCTCTCATCTTACGAAGGAGTGGACAGAGTCACAGTGCGGGAGGCCCCGCAGTAAGCTCAACATTTTTACCCCAACTGTCCCAACAAAGGAGCTTCGCTGTGGCGCTAAGGGTTCAGTCTCGTCCCCAAAGAAAACCCCGGCAGCATAATGAGACTGGCGAGACCTCGAGATGTTTCAGTGGTGTCGCCAACAAGAGATGTTGGCTCTACAGTCCCTGTATCACAGGGTTCAAGAACCTGTTGCAAGGAAGCCAAATGAACCACAGCAAGCTGGTGGTGAATCTGATCCCTCTTGCGGCAACCAACCACCAGCCTCCGACACTCGGAACACACACAAAATTAGTCCAGGCAAGCTTCATATAACTTACGGGGCTTGGGATAAGAATCCAGCCGTGAATGTTGGCTTAACAGGGATTGGCGGCGTCCAGCAGAATATAAACATAAACTTATCAGGTATTCTAGGGGACGCTGGAGTTACGCAGGCAGCACCACTACCACTTTCATCACCTGCTACCTTCTCTCAGGTAGGTTCAAGTACCTTCGCCTTCCTTACTGCTAAAAAAAAAAAATCCATTAAGCTTTGTAAATGTGGAATGATGTAACCGTGCTAATATAATTTGTTAGGATTCAATCAGATCGTCTAACTAATCTAGGGAATTGGATCTGTGCTCCATTCCTCGAAATTTAAACCTGAATGCCTTCGATATCCCCCTCCCCCACAGGTACTGTATAATCCTTACAAGTTTAGCACTCTCCCGTAATAATAATAATACACGTTGGTCATTTAGGCACAATTCACTTGTACACTAACGTCAAAGAATACTTTAATCCCTAAAATAGGGATTAAATTAGTTTGTCGATGTATATACACATACCACTCGATGTATATAAAAACTTGCTAATTCGTCCATACTGCTTTGTTTTGCAAGAGTGACATTTCAAAAAAAAATCACACAATAAGTGGGATGATATAAAATTTTTAATGGGTAGGACATAGTTTACAACGCACCAGATGTACCACAGACTTTCAACATAGTTTGTCAAGATAAGCTTGAAAATATCACCCCTCAAGGAAGGTTCCTTGATGTTGGTGAGGGGCTCTTGATTTAGGGAATTGAATCTGTGCTCCAGTTCCCCGAATTAAGCCTGAATGCCTTCCACATCCCCCCTCCCCAGGCGCTGTATAATCCTCCGGGTTTGCGCTTCCCCCTTGATTGAAAATATAAGAATTCAGTAATATAAATTGATAACCAGTACGTCCGAGTTTGCATTGTAAGCATATATGAGCCATTGACCTATATCAGACCCACAATTGTGATCCTGACCTCGACTGGAGTGTATCTCAAGGATACATTATCATTAGCATTATTATCATCGTATTAGTCATCTGTATTTGTGTTCCAGTCTCGTGGTGAGCCCCAGGTTCGAGGAATCCTGAAGAAGCCCAGTAAGGAGTAAGTATTTAGTGATGTTTACATCTACATGTCCCGCACGTATCTTCATATATGGATACAGTACATTTACTATCCGACACATTGCAGTAGCTAATAATGTTACCCAGTTTACTTTTAAATAAAAAAAATATTAGGGGCCCGCGGGGATTTTCAGGGATGCTAAAATTTGTGTACGTGTCATTAAGGGATTCAAACTTTTTTAAGGGGTGTCAAATGTTTTTAAAAGGGCGCTGTATTAATTGCTCAGTGATCGTAACCTCAGTCTTGTTTAGCTTTTGTTTTGTCCACGTTTTTCCCAAACTGACGTCATCGTAAGGAAAACCTGCTGCTCGTACTGGCTGTCCATTGTAACGCTACATTCTGTAGCTCCCCTGGAACTGCGTAATTGCTGTTGCTCAGTAGCGGGTTTTTCGAATAAGCTGTGCTGTCGCTTAAATGCTCTTTTTAATAACTATGCTGCTGTTGCCAATGACTAGCAATCGTGCAAATTTTTACCCCACTGTTTTGTTTGGGCCTTGATTGCAGTTGTGGAGTGCCCCGCCTGACATCTTCGAGGGAAAACTGTGAGAGCACGAGAGAGAAGAAAAAACTTTCAACTGGAAAGGGGAATAACAGTAGACACGTAATAAACCAGGCAAGGGAAAATAAATTGATAAAATATTGAAAAGGCTGTGGGTTTTCTATTATAGATTGGGGGATTTTGATGAAAAGTATGGGAATTGAAGTAAAATTAAAATCAAACAAATGGCAATAAATAGAATAATACAAAAAAATGTTAAGTAGAGTAACAATGATGAGTAAGAAACCAAAAGAAGGGTTAAAGAGAGAAAACAAGAAATCTACTATCATATAAATAAAAGCTGGGCAGTGAGATATTTTGAGAACAAAATAGAAAAAAGAATTCACGGACGATACGAAAAAAAAAACGAATAATGAAAGCAGAACAAAAAGGACTCAGGACCTTGGAAAGTCCTGCTCCACCAAATTTTGGAAGTTATTGTTAAAGCTCTTTAAAAAATTTCTATATTACAAGTTTCATTTGTTTTTTTTAAAATTTATTTATTCATTCTCCCTCCCCCCCTCTTTCCTTCATAATAACCCCTTTTTTCATTTTTTTTTAAATTTAAAAATTTTCTTTTTTTATAATACATAATTTTTTAGATAATTATACGTTGTATAATATATTTAATCTCTTTGCTGACACGATATTTATTTACTTTAAAAACGTTCCAATAATACAAGGGTATTGCATCCATTTTTGGTAATAGCGGTAAGAAGTAAAAAAAAAAAAAAAAAAACTGGGAATTTTAAAAAATTATGAAATCGTTGCTTTAATTTTTTCAAGGTAGGCTTTTTTACTAAAACTACTTATATTTTTTATGACGGAAAAAAAGTATAGAAAAAAATATTTTTTTAGTTTTCTAATTGTATTTTTTTTCCGTTATTTTCCCTCTCCCTATATAGTCTTCGTTACATAAATAACGTTGCTCACACAGTGATATATTAATGCAGTGCTCATCTTATGTGAGAATGTGCATGGATATTATATGCATTTATTTTTTCTATAACGTGGGCAACTTGAAGACCTGAAACCTCCTCCAGCTGTATCTGACAGAAGACCTGAAACCTCCTCCAGCTGTATCTGACAGATGACCTGAAACCTCCTCCAGCTGTATCAAGGAAAAATGAGTTTCTTCTAGAAGGTGATTGAGCATTTTCTTATACTGTATATGTATGTGAATAAATGGCTCTTGATGGAAGGTATTGGAGCTTCCTATGTTGGTGAGGGGCTCTTGATTTAGGGAATTGGGTCTGTGCTCCAGTTCCCCGAATTAAGCCTGAATGCCTTCCACATCCCCCCTAGGCGCTGTATAATCCTCCGGGTTTAGCGCTTCCCCCTTGATTATAATAATAATAATAATTGGAGCTTCCTGCTCTTGCTACAAACCTGTTAACCCACTCATTTCCTGGCGCTGTTTGACTTTTGAGTATAACACGTCTCAAGAATGGAAATATACACGGTAAAAAATACCTGCCCCGAGTGAGGATCGAACTCACGACCTTGAGATTATGAGACTCACGCGCTGCCTACTGCGCCATCGAGGCTATGGTGACGTTACCGTCTACTTTTAAAATGTCAAATTTATTACTAAATAAATACAAAAAATATATTCTTTGGGTTGTTAACCCGAGAGCTTACTGCCGTTGTATTTTTTCCCCCTAGAATGTGAGCTGCTGGTACATACTATCGTTCACTTTATGAATTGTTTACCTGGAGTCAATTCCGGAAGTCACCGCCCCCGCGGCCCGGTTCCAGACCAGGAGTCCTGGTTGCCGTCTTGATCGATCAAGCTGTTTGTACCTGCCTCCTGCAGTCTACAACGCGGTTGATTAGGAACTATTTTGTAGAATCTGTCGAGTTCCCTATTGAGCTTGTTGGTGATCCTCCCTTATTCATGAACTGTCTTTGGAAGTTACCTAATCTCACGCCTGAAGATCTGCACTTGCGTCGAGATCTGAATTAATTAATCATATCTGGAAGTTGTCAAAAAATTTCGCTTCACAATTTTAAAACAGCTTCCCGTGCCGGGAATCGAACCCGGGCCTCGCGGGAGAGAGCCGCGTATCCTAGCCACTAGACAAAACGGGATGTGGTATTTTTACCTTATTACTAAGTTTAAGGCGAGAGAAATACAATTAGTTTTCAGAATTTATTATTGTTTTCTATGATTTGGCCTCATTATTTATATTTCCTATAATGTATTTGATGTTCAAAGAGTCTTTCGGTTTATATTAAGCTTAGATGATTTAGTTTTTATTTTGGCAATCAATACTCGGCATACCTTAATTTTTTACAATTTAAATAAACTAGATTATACCCGGCTGGTTAGTAACCTAGGATAATGCGGTGAAAACTCTGTAGTTTATTTCCATTTGGGGTCCTTTGATTATTTTTACCCCAAAATGCGACCCACAGAAGGCGACTAACACTCAGGTACCTGCATACTGCTTGGTGAACAAACAACAAATGTAAGGAAACAATCCGAACCAGGTCTCTCAGATGCGAACCGGGGCAACCATTTTAAAGGCACACACATGATATTAGCACTCATATATGTTTTATGATGATTTAACCTAAGATGGCCCACTGAAGCCAGAGTGACTTGACATTGCTTACTAATTCATTGGAGCTCTACAGGTCCTTCCCAAGGATGCAGTCCACAACCAGAACCGTGGACTAACTCCTAACTTTCTGTATATTTGCTGGTTGGTGAAAAGGAGCTTCAGGTCTGAGAAGACATGTCCATACGTTTCCCAGGCCCAGGATGATCTGTAGGCTACTAAATATTCAGTTTGGATATAGGTTTATTTTTTCCTCTCGGGTATTCGGAGGGGCCTGCAAATAATATATTTGAAGTTATTTTTGCCTTGTAGAATCTGATAACATTTTATCCTTATTGCAACCACTGTGTAAACATCATAATCTTGAGCCATATGTATAGTGAACATAAATAAATTTAAACGCTTTCTTAACACTTGTCGCAGGGTGGCTGACTACTTTGTTAAGCTAAGTTTGCTTAACATATCTTTTAAAGCCTGATGATTTACTTGTCATACTCTACTGAGTTGGAAAATTTCAATATTGCAAGGAAGTTGCATTAGCCCTCTTACTCTAAAAATATTCGTGCTGGTGCAGTATTTTTGGAACAGCCTACTTTCTCAGTTCCTTCGATAGCTCAGTTGGTAGAGCGGTGGACTGTAGTTGAAACAATGTAACGGAAATCCATAGGTCACTGGTTCGAATCCGGTTCGAAGGATATAGTTTTGGGAGCATTCATTTATCCTAATCGGATCATCAAAGTGCTGGATATTCGCCAAGGGTATTTAGGATATGCTATTAGGCGTGTTCCTTGTATTTTGGATGGCGTCAGCCAGCGGATGCTTTACTAGTTTTTGGGTCATCATTTAACTAAGAGTCGTGTTAGTAGACACTAGGCCTATCTCTTAACAAATAAACCACCATCATATCTCCTAAAGGTTATTCCTCATTTCCCTTGTCTCCCAAGGAAAACGTAACTAGTTATGCATTTTTTCCACCATAACTAACCTTGCCAAAATTTGTCATAACTTCATTTACTAACTTTAACTATATGCATTAAAAAATCAGTGTTCTTCTGGGGTGTTGAAAGTTAGACATTTTCAATAAAGTTCATGAAACAGTTTAATATGAATAAATAATCATTTTGTCAGACTACAGACAATACCTGAGTATTAAATACATAACCTGGAGAGAGTTCCGGGGGTCAGCGCCCCCGTGGCCCGGTCTGTGACCAGGCCTCCTGGTGGATCAGAGCCTAATCAACCAGGCTGTTACTGCTGGTTGCACGCAAACCAACGTACGAGCCACAGCCCGGCTGGTCAGGAACCGACTTTAGGTGCTTGTCCAGTGCCAGCTTGAAGACTGCCAGGGGTCTGTTGGTAATCCCAGTTATGTATGCTGGGAGGCAGTTGAACAGTCTCGGGCCTCTGACACTTATTGTATGGTCTCTTAACGTGCTAGTAACACCCCTGCTTTTCATTGGGGGGATGTTGCATCGTCTGCCAAGTCTTTTGCTTTCGTAGTGAGAGATTTTCGTGTGCAAGTTCGGTACTAGTCGCTCTAGGATTTTCCAGGTGTATATAATCATGTATCTCTACCGCCTGCGTTCCAGGGAATACAGTTTTAGGAACCTCAAGCGCTCCCAGTAATTGAGGCGTTTTATCTCCGTTATGCGCGCCGTGAAGGTTCTCTGTATATTTTCTAGGTCAGCAATTTCACCTGCCTTGAAAGGTGCTGTTAGTGTGCAGCAATATTCCAGCCTAGATAGAACAAGTGACCTGAAGAGTGTCATCAGGGGCTTGGCCTCCCTAGTTTTGAAGGTTCTCATTATCCATCCTGTCATTTTTCTAGCAGATGCGATTGATACAATGTTATGGTCCTTGAAGGTGAGATCCTCCAACATGATCACTCCCAGGTCTTTGACGTTGGTGTTTTGCTCTATTTTGTGGCCAGAATTTTTTTTGTACTCTGATGAAGATTTAATTTCCTCGTGTTTA